CACACCACCGAGCCCACCACCCCCCCCACGCCCCCCCCCCCACCCAGCGCGCCAACGACAGCACCCCTCCCACCCACCCACCCCCACCCCCCACGCCCCCACCACCCACCCACTTGTTTTTGGTCTTCCTCTTGTCCCCCCCCCCCCCCGCCCCACACCCCACTCCCCACCCACGCCCAACAGTGCCCCACCCCACGCCCCACCACTGCCACCCCACCCCGACCTCCCCCCGTGCCCCTGCCAGCCCACCCAGAACCACGCCAACCCGGCCATCCCCACCCGCCACTGTAGCTCCACTCCTCACACTGAAATGGACTGGAATGGGCCACTTCACATCAGATGACCACCAGATCTACTACTGCGGACAAGAGGAACATCGAAGAAATGGAGTAGCCTTCATAATTAATAAGAAATTCGCTAAAGCCGTGCTTGGATACAACCCAAAAAATGACAGAATGATCTCAATTCGAGTGCAAGGAAAGCCTTTCAACATTACAGTGATCCAAATATACGCCCCAACCACAGCTGCTGAAGAAGCAGAAGTAGATCAGTTCTATGAGGATCTGCAGGACCTACTGGATAATACACCAAAAAGAGACATTATTTTCATTACAGGAGACTGGAATGCCAAGGTGGGAAGTAAAATGACAACAGCGATCACAGGCAAGCATGGTCTGGGAGAACAAAATGAAGCGGGACGCAGGCTGATAGAATTTTGCCAGGAAAACTCGCTGTGTATAACGAATACTCTCTTCCAACAACCTAAAAGACGGCTTTACACATGGACCTCACCAGACGGTCAACACCGAAATCAGATTGACTACATCCTTTGCAGCCAAAGGTGGCGGACATCCATGCAGTCGGTGAAAACAAGACCTGGGGCTGACTGTAGCTCAGATCACGAACTTCTTATTGCCCAATTTAGAATAAAACTAAAGAGATCATGGAAAATACACAGACCAGTTAGATATGATCTCACTAATGGAAGTGAAGAACAGATTTGAAGGATTAGATTTAGTAAACAGAGTCCCAGAAGAACTATGGACAGAAGTCCGAGACATTGTTCAGGAGGCGGAAACAAAGTACGTCCCAAAGAAAAAGAAAACCAAGAAGGCAAAATGGTTGTCTGCTGAGACACTGGAAGTAGCCCAAGAAAGGAGGAAAGCAAAAGGAAACAGGGATAAGGGGAGATATGCCCAGTTAAATGCGCAATTCCAGAGGTTAGCCAGAAGAGATAAGGAACTATCTTTAAACAAGCAATGCATGGAAGTGGAAGATAATAGAATAGGAAGGACCAGAGACCTTTTCCAGAAAATTAGAAACATCAGAGAAAAATTTCAGGCAAAAATGGACATGAACAAAAACAAAGATGGCAGGGACCTAACAGAAGCTGAAGAGATCAAGAGAAGGTGGCGAGACTATACAGAAGATCTGTATAGGAAGGATAATAATATTGAGGATAGTTTTGACGGTGTGGTGAATGAATTAGAACCAGACATCCTGAGGAGTGAGGTTGAATGGACCTTAAGAAGCATTGCTAACAACAAGGCAGCAGGAGACGACGGGATCCCAGCTGAACTGTTTAAAATCTTAAAAGATGATGCTGTCAAGGTGATGCATGCCATTTGCCAGCAAATATGGAAAACACAAGAATGGCCATCAGACTGGAAAAAATCGACTGACGACGGGAGCCCAGCTGAACTGTTTAAAATCTTAAAAGATGATGCTGTCAAGGTGATGCATGCCATTTGCCAGCAAATATGGAAAACACAAGAATGGCCATCAGACTGGAAAAAATCAACTTATATCCCCATACCAAAAATGGGAAATGCGAAAGACTGCTCAAACTTCCGTACAGTGGCCCTTATTTCTCATGCCAGTAAGGTAATGCTCAAGATCCTGCAAGGAAGACTCCAGCAATACATGGAGCGAGAGTTGCCAGAGGTTCAAGCTGGGTTTAGAAAAGGTAGAGGAACGAGAGACCAAATTGCCAATATCCGCTGGATAATGGAGAAAGGCAGGGAGTTTCAGAAAAACATCTACTTCTGCTTCATTGACTATTCTAAAGCCTTTGACTGTGTGGATCATAATAAATTGTGGCAAGTTCTTAGTGGGATGGGCATCCCAAGCCACCTTGTCTCTCTCCTGAGGAATCTGTACAAGGACCAAGTAGCAACAGTCAGAACTGACCATGGAACAACAGACTGGTTCAAGATTGGGAAAGGCGTACGGCAAGGCTGCATCCTCTCACCCAACCTTTTTAACTTGTATGCAGAACACATCATGTGATGCGGGGCTTGATGAATGCAAAGCTGGGGTGAAAATTGCTGGAAGAAACATTAACAACCTTAGATATGCAGATGACACCACTCTGATGGCCGAAAGCGAGGAGGAGCTGAGGAGCCTTCTAATCAAGGTGAAAGAAGAAAGCGCAAAAGCCGGGTTGCAGCTAAACGTCAAAAAAACCAAGATTATGGCAACAAGAATGATTGACAACTGGAAAATAGAGGGAGAAACCGTGGAGGCCGTGACAGACTTTGTATTTCTAGGTGCAAAGATTACTGCAGATGCAGACTGTAGGCAGGAAATCAGAAGACGCTTACTTCTTGGGAGGAGAGCAATGTCCAATCTCGATAAAATAGTAAAGAGTAGAGACATCAGACTGGCAACAAAGATCCGCCTGGTCAAAGCCATGGTATTCCCTGTAGTAACCTACGGATGTGAGAGCTGGACCTTAGGGAAGGCTGAGCGAAGGAAGATAGATGCTTTTGAGCTGTGGTGTTGGAGGAAAGTTCTGAGAGTGCCTTGGACTGCGAGAAGATCCAACCAGTCCATCCTCCAGGAAATAAAGCCCACTGCTCACTGGAGGGAAGGATACTAGAGACAAAGTTGAAGTATTTTGGCTACATAATGAGAAGGCATGAAAGCTTAGAGAAGAAAATTATGCTGAGGAAGATGGAAGGAAAAAGGAAGAGGGGCAAGACCAAGGGCAAGATGGATGGATGGCATCCTTGAAGTGACTGGACTGACCTTGAAGGAGCTGGGGGTGGTGACGGCCGACAGGGAGCTCTGGCGTGGGCTGGTCCATGAGGTCACGAAGAGTCGGAGACGACTGAACGAATGAACAACAACAACCAAGCAAGAAGACAAACAGCTGCTTATTGATAGGTTTAAAGGTTCAGTCCATTGTGGGGATGACCCCATGGAGGGTGTGAAACAGAGGAGTATGATGGCATGGCTATGCAGATGCAAGGCAGGGAAAGTGACATTGCAGTGCGAAGGCAGCAAGTGAGTCACCGGAAGAGAGCTTGAGAGACGCCTTCCTCATAGCCCAAGAGGTGGGACTCAACACTTGCAAGCCAAGGGATAAACTTTTCCCTAGTTTTGCTGTGCGTTAGTATGCAATCAGTTACATTTTTTGCATAGTAGGAATAAAACAACTTTACTAAAATGATGAAGGACATCTCTATGTGTTCATCCATACCTGAATATTCATACACACAGAGGGAGGTCTAAGCTGATACATTCTCAGGTCTGATGATAGAAGCCCTTGGTAGTGCAGTGGGTTAAACCTTGGTGCTGGCAGGACTGTTGAGCAACAGGTCAGCGGTTCGAATCCAGGGAAAGTGGGTTGAGCTCCCTCTGTCAGTTCCAGCTCTCCATGTGGGGACATGAGAAAAGTCTCCCACAAGGATGGTAAGAAATCAAACATCACCCTTTACCCAATTTACCTGTCCAAACACATCTCCCCTATGAACCATCGTGATTAAGATCCTCTGGGGAGGCCTTGCTCTCTGTCCCGCCATTGTCACAGGCGCGATTGGTGGGGAGGAGAGACAGGGCCTCTCGGTGATTGCCCCCCAGCTATGGAACTCCCTTCCTGATGAGATCAGATCGGCCCCCTCCCTCCTGTCCTGCAGGAGGAAGGTAAAGACTTGGCTGTGGGACCAAGCTTTCAGGACAGTGCAATAAAGCAGCGATAGGAAACCTTACCAGGCCAATTAGATTTTACACAGATGACCAAGATGGTTTTAAACAGTGTATTTTAATATTGAGATAAATGTTTTTAATGTTTAGGTATGCATGTAATGAATTCTTGTCCTGGCATTGAATGTTTGCCATATATATGCTGTGCTCCTCCGAGTCCCCTTCAGGGTGAGAAGGAATATAAATGTTTTAAATAAATAAGCAACGTCCTTGCAGATGGCCAATTCTCTCACACCAGAAGCGACTTGCAGTTTCTCAAGTCACTCCGACACACACACAAACACACACAAAAGGTCTGATGATCTTTTGAATAGGACTGGCCATCTTTTGCCTTCACTGTGAAACAAAACCAGTTCCCGTTAGAAGACAGGAGACAGTTGTCTACCACTGGTTTATTTGTTTTTCTTATTTATGTAAGGGAAATTGCTTCCCCCTAAAAAAAAAAAAACCCTGCTGAAAATACTCAGGCATTGGGTCAACCGAGATGGGTTTTGATGTCACAGTCACTGATCAGACTGGAAATGGTCCGTGATCTTCCACAGCAGGTATACCATGCATCCAATACCACACATCCAAACAGAAGCAAGAACCAGTTGTGCATAAAAAGCCCTTTTATGAATAAGGAAGCAAAGTGTATAATACAGAAATATGCATATATGAAATCATTAATGGAAACGTGGGATAGTAAGGATCATAGGGGTGTGAACTTGGAATCTTTGCAACTACAATCCTCTCTATTTTCTAAGTTGCAGAGTGTTATAGAAACTCTGTTATTTTTTTGGGGGGGGGCACCCAATTACTGCTCAGAGGTGACATTTAAATTGTGCAGTCATTATGAAGCAGATTTAACAGTTGGTGGGTAAAATCATCATGCAAGGTGGACAAGAAAGGATCATACTTAAGCAGAAGGGTCTATGCAATGCGTAATGTCCATGAAATGAGAGACATAGACACAAACTGGTTTTATTTTTCTGCCCCTTCATCCTCTCTGTTGAAGCTACCCTTCTTTGCAGTTACGCATCAGCGATGTTTTCAAATTTCTCACTCCATTGCAGCACTTCACCATTTCCTTCATTCTTGTTGAGCACTTTGTAGGTTTGATTTTTAAGACATCCCTTTCGAAACAGCTGGAGACAAAAATGTGAAGGAATCAGAACTACTAGCTATAGGTGAGTCCTTGAATCCACTGGCCCCAGAACCAGCCTTGAAGAACTCAGCAACGAGGCCAGGACCATAAATAGACATAGCTGGGCGTCTGCTGAGAGAACTGTCAACCACTAGTCCTACTGCTGCTTTGCCTTGGGGCTCCTACCCACTTGCACCTTTCCTCTGAGCATATGAGGAGAGAGCAGAGTGACCTCCATGCTTCACTTGCCTTGCTCTCTCTTCTCTACACAACTACATACATTTAGACCAGAGGCGGAAAGTGGGGTGATTTCCCAATCACCTTCAAAATTGAAAGCTTGCGCTGCTCAACATTTTTCAGAAAACCTTTGAAAAGAAGGATTTTGGACACAGGGATGACGAGCATGTAGCAGGATGTGGACACACCAAAGAAGGGACTGAAGGTGGGAAACGCAATGACGATTGGTTTGAAGTGAATTGCTAAAAGAGGTCACATTCATGACCCAGTGAAAAGATGGTCTGTGTTGCTCTTCACTTTTCTTTGTAAATAGAAGTATAATTTGCATATGCTTTGATATTCTCATTTGAAGGGACTGCTGTATCATATATATATATATATATATATATATATATATATACACACACACACACACACACACACACACACACACACACACACACCTTACTTACTTACTTAGGCGATCCCTCGTAGCTCAAGGATTATTGTCTTCCAGATGTAGTATCTTGGCGGTGGGTCCGTAGGTGGCTGTGGAGCCCTATTCTTGATCCATATGTTCTCCCGCAGTGAGGACATTGGTATCCAGACGGAAGGTGGTCACGGTTAGGGTTGGCTTGATGTGCCTTTCTCTTGGCACATTTCTCCCTTTTGCCCCCACCCCATTCATGCATCTTTGAATTCTGCATCACTGCTGCTCACAGTTGACCTCCAGTTAGAGTGCTCAAGGGCCAGGGCTTCCCAGTTCTTGGTGTCTATGCCACAGTTTTTGAGCCCTTTAAGCCCATATTTATTTATTTATTTCCTATATTTGTACACTGCCCTTCTCACCCCCAGGGGGGTATTCAGGGCAGCCTCACAACAAGCACCATACGATGCCATCACCATCAAAAAACATTTAACAAATACATTAAAATATTAATACAGTTAATTTTTAAATCTCTTTTCCTGTATATATGTGTGTATGTGTGTGTGCGTGTATGCATATACACAGACCATCTTTTCACTGGGTCATGATTGCAAGATCAAGGTGATCAGCTGAAACATTCACAGCTAGCCCCAGCAAACAAAAGTCCTTTGTCTCACCCTGGTCATTCCACAGATATATAAACCCATTTTTCCTAGTTCTAACAGACCTCATTACCTCTGAGGATGCTTGCCATAGATGCAGGCGAAACGTCAGGAGAAAAATTGCCTCCAGAACATGGCCATATAGCCCGGAAAAACCTACAACAACCCATTGCAAGATCTTTTAGCAATTCACAAAATGCGTTTCCCATCTTCCGTCCCCTCTTTGATGCGTCCACATCCTGCCACATGTTTGTCATGCCTGTATAACAGCATCCCATATCATATCCAAACAGTATTACAGGCTGTTCCAGATGGCCATTAATATAGCAACAAACCGTTTCTCAAAGAAAAGATATTGGAACCTACACATTATATGTTTTTATATCAAAATCTGATGATCTTTAAACCACCAGAAAGGGAAGATACTGACAAGCTTTGTTGTTGTTACTGCAAACATGAAAATCTTATACAGGCCCACAATACTATCTTTCAAAGTCATATGTAGTTTGATGTGGACATTAAAAAATTGGCCAAGCCACTGCGAACTCACTGCTTTGCAGTAGTGTCTGTACCATCCTTGCATTTGTGTTCAGTCTTAAATTTGTGGCAATTATTCTGACCAAAATACCTTTGCAGCTTGAGCCTGTGCAGTGTAGATTGGCTAAGCACAGGTTTCTGGCTTCCTGTGCTTTCTTGCCCATTTCAATTCAAGTTAAATATGGCCTGTTCATTTACAGTTTTGGTTGCCACCATAGCGGGGCCCTTTCTATCCCTGTCAGGATTTTTATGATTGATTTTATTCTTCCTCTTGGCTCTCAGATTAGATTTGGTCTGGATAGAAATTTAATTGATTTGATATTGTGCATATTTGTGATTTACTGGGTACGTTTTAGATGATGTTCTACTTTTGTCTTGTTCCCTTCTTCATAAGTCTTCCTGGGAGCAGAGGGAATTTTAAAGGTAAGATAGGTAAGATAAAGGTAAAGGTTTTCCCCTGACATTAAGTCCAGCCGTGTCCGACTCTGGAGGTTGGTACTCATCTGCATTTCTAAGCTAAAGAGCCGGCATTGTCCATAGATGCCTCCAAGGTCATGTAACCGGCATTACTGCATGGAGAGCCGTTACCTTCCCGCCAGAGTGGTACCTATTGATCTACTCATATTTGCATGTTTTAGTCATTAACAAATAACAAAAGCCCCCAGTGGCACAATGGGATAAACCAGGGGTCCTCAAAATTTTTAAACAGAGGGCCAGGTCACAGTCCCTCAAAGTGTTGGAGGGCCGGATTGTAATTTGAAAAAAGCACACTGCACACATCTTATTTGTAGTGCAAAAAAAAAAAACACTTAAAAACAATACAATGATTAAAATGAAGAACAATTTTAACAAATATAAACTTTTTAGTATTTCAATGGAAAGTGTGGGTCTGCTTTTGGCTGATGAGATGGGATTGTTGTTGTTGTTGTTGTGTGCTTTTAAGTTGTTTCAGATTTAGGTTGGCCCTGAACGAGGGCCAGGTAAATGACCTTGGAGGGCCGTATCTGGCCCTCGGGCCTTAGTTTGAAGACTGCTGGGTTAAATCCTTGTGCTGGCAGGACTGCTGACCAACAGGTTGGTGGTTTGAATCCAGAGAGCAGGGTGAGCTCCCGTCTCAGCTTTAGCTTCCCATGCGGGGACATGAGAGAAACCTCCCACAGGATGGTGAAACATCAAACATCCGGGCGTTCCCTGGGCAACGTCCTTGCAGATGGCCAATTCTCTCACACTAAAAGCAACTTTCAGTTCCTCAAGTTGTTCCTGACACATACAAAAAAATTATCAAATGAACGAGTCAATGGAGAAACAAATGAATAAAAAAATGAATGAGTATTGCAATTAACAGGTGGGAAGTCCTCAATGGGGTAATGTGAGATTTTTATGAGCTACAAAAATGCCATTTTTTTCTGTTCTCAGTTTGATTTTTGAAGCAATTCCCAGAACAAAAAGCTGAGGGGGGCGGGAGACGATTCTATTTCTAGAAAAGAGCGCCCCACTTTTGAAGGGATGCTGAAGAACTACAGGGCTGCCCACTCACCTTCTTCTTATGGGCGTTGTACTCTAGGCACTGCTTGCTCTTGAAAGCACAATAGGTAGGATGTTCAATTCCTTCTGAGTCACAGATCTGGGATGAATGAAATAACACATAGAAGTGGGGAGCAGGAAATGAGAAGAACCATCAAATGAGGGGCGAGGGGCAGCTGACGGTTACCTTGTCGGGGAAATCCCCTCCTTTAAAGGAGGAATATTCTGACTGCAACCAGAGCGCTATGCGGTAGTCATCACAACCGTGGGTAGCCAGGCGACCACACCAGTACTCGGTCTGTAAGCCACCATAATCCTCAATCCCATAAAACTCATTTTCCACTGAGGTGATCTGATGGCAAAAGAGGTAAAAGGAGGATCTGACACCGAAACACCTGCCCACAAAGAGTCTTTCATTCAGTCCTTCTGCAAAAGCTTTACCTTACCATAGGGACCATGGCCTTGTGCTGGGCCAAGATCCCGGGATTGATGTAGTCGTTAAACGAGTCACCATCACAGTGGATGCGTTTCAGGTTGGTAGTCCCTTGACACTGCTCTATCTTCAAGGAGCAGAAGGCACACCCAGAACACAGATCTGTGTGGCGTCGACCAAAGTTGTCACATACCTAGAAAGTGACAGAGCAGGGAGAAGGACAACAATAAAAAAGGTAGAGGTTTCCCCTTGACATGAAGTCTAGTCGTGTCTGACTCTGGGGGGTGGTGCTCATCTCCATTTCTAAGCCAAAGAGCTGGCGTTGTCCATAGATGCCTCCAAGGTCATGTGGCCGCCATGACTTCATGAAGCACCGTTACCTTCCCGCTGATTGATCTATTGATCTACTCACATTTGCACGTTTTTGAACTGCTAGGTTGGCTAAAGCTGAGGCTAACAGCAGGCGCTCACCCCGCTCCCTGGATTCGAACCTCTGACCTTTTGGCCAACAAGTTCAGCAGCTCAGCAGTTTAACCTGCTGCACCACTGGGGGCTCAGGACAACAATAACATTCATTTAATACCTCAAACTATTGTGTGGTATTTGGCAAACTGGGTGTTGGATAGCCAGCAGTCTTCCTAAAATACTACTTTCCGATCTCCAGGAGTCACTTACACTGTTTCTAAATTCAAAGTGGAGATTACTCAAGCTAACAGCCTCCATTCTCTCATATTTTGCAGATATTCTAGAACGTGGCACAAGCATTTGAACTGAGGTCTATGTCTTCTAAATGCTAGACTCTGCTGGAGAGAAAATGAGGCTAGTATCAAGAACTGAAGCTTACCAAATCCCCATAGCCAAAGAATTTTGCTTCCACTTCTTGCCAGGCCTTGCTAACAGCTGTAGCTATGCAAATATCTTGCAGGACTGAATAACACAGAATCACCAATGCTGCATTCTTGTCAAGAGATAAGATGCTGATGCAACAAGAGAGAGAAGAAGAAAACCAAATTGTGAGAACTGATAAGTAGAAATGTTTGGATTTTGAGTTTTTCCCTCTCTCCATTTTCCCCCAAAGTAGAGGCAACTGGCCTCTGGGTTATTTGAGATTTCTACACCAGATTCTAAGTGGTTTTATGGAAAATACAATTTGCTACTGAAAATGGTACTTTTATATAAATCACCTCCACCATGACTACTTGCCACTAGGGAAATACGTACCTTTGGGGATTTAGTTCCTTGAGGAGAGCTAGGAAAAATCATGTGTTCTTATTTCTCTGAAGCCCCCAAAAATTGGGCCAGGTATAATGGTCTGAAGCTACAAGGGAGTTGTGTGTTGTGTCAGCTCAGGTCCACCCTCTTTAAAGATTTCAGCAGGGATCCCATCAGGTCCACTGGCTTTGTTACTTTTTAGTTGGCTGTTGGCTTTGCTGACTTACAACTTCACCAATTCATTGAAAAAGTGTGGGTGACCGAGAAAATCCCAGCAGACTTCAAGGATGCTATCATTGTCACCATTTTCAAAATGAGGGGGGAAACAGACTATGGAATGTATCGAGATATCTCTCTTCTAACCTCCATTGGGAAAATCCTAACAAGAATGCTTGCAAATTGCTTTCTACCGATTTCAGAAGACATCCTCCCAGAATCCCAGAACAGCTTCCGCCCCTCCAGAGGAACAGTGGACATGATCTTTATTGCACGACAGCTCCAAGAAAAAAATGCAGAGAACAAAATCAACCTTTGTACATGGCATTCATTGACCTTGCAAAGGCATTTGACACAGTGAATTGCAATGCTCTCTCCTTTTAAAAATCGGATGCCCTGACAAATTCGTGAACATCCTGTGGCTCCTCAAATTATGACATGATGCCAACAGTCTCGGACAGCAGTGGCTCCCAAAGTGATCCATTTAAAGTGGAATCAGGTGTCAAACAAGGATGTGTTATTGCCCCAACCCTATTTTCCATCTTCATCGCTATGATACTGCACCTTGTTGATGGGAAGCTTCCCACCGGCGTAGAAATAATCTATCGGACAGATGGTAAGCTATTTAACCTCAGCAGACTGAAAGCCTAAACCAAAGTCACAGCAACATCTGTTGCGGCAACCTGCACTTACAATCAATTCGAAAATGGTTTTTTTTTCGTGGAATGGGAAATGGTGCATTTTCAGTTCATTTTGTGATGTTTCAGTGTGGTGTGCATGTGAGTGGTCTTTTCATGCCCCTTGATACTCCTTCTGCCATTACTCCTTGGTCAACTGGTAAATAAATCTACCCTCCTTTGTTTTGTTTTGTTTTAATGGCTATAACTGTGCAATTTTGAACCTTTGACATTCCACCTTACAGATAATTTCCTGTTTTGAAAGCTCTTCCATATTTTTTTTTAAAAAGAGATACCCCCCCCCCCTTGTGACGTGAGCACTCCCTGAATGATGAAATGGAAGGAAATAACAGCTCCCTGTGTGATGGGGAGAAAAGTACATGATTTAACTAGAAACGGGTAGAGGCGCATCCTGTGTGATGGGGGTGAGTAAATTCTCTGTCTTCTTTCAAGATGAAACACCATGGAATTTTATGAGAAGAAGATGCTACCTCCCACTTTCTTTCTCTTGTGTGAGGAGATCCAAAGACACCGCGCATGCAACTTAGCAACTAGAAACCACACACAGATTATTTTAAAAGGTATACAGCAGTAGTTCCCAACCTGTGGTCCGTGGACCACCGGTGGTCCGCAAGAATGAAAATATGGTCCGCGGACTCACCATTACTACACCGGGTTACTGTGAGTCTTCGACAACACATTACTACACAGTTGCCTCAAAACTATGTGGCAACGGGAGTGACTGGTCTCTCAAAATCCTCTTATAGTGCCGAGGCAACGGGGATGTTGGGAAGGGAGAGGCTGACTACCCACAAAAATTACTATTACCACATCAGCTCTAGCTTATTAAATATGGTTTTCTGTGGGCAAGCAGATGGTGACTATTGGATGGCACATGTTCTGTATCAGAAACTAGAGCTGATGTGGTCTATCTAATGCAATTTGCTGAATCAGCACCCCAAATAACCAAACCTGTGATTGTGTTTCAGGATCAGGGTGCTTTGGATGTGGGGAGTGATGTCAATGAGTTTCAAGATGGCAATGGTTTGGTCAATGATATTGATGCAGAGAATGAACAGGAGAGCCCTGTTCAAAGTGTAGTTTCCCATGAGAATGTCCCTGAAGGGTGTGAAGATCATGGTGTACTCCCTGAATTGCTACCAGAGTTCCCAGGATTTGGGGCTTGAAAACAACTGGGTACCCGCAGAAGTTAATGAGCAAATAGATAGACGGCAGAAGATTAGTTAAAACAGACAAGTTGAACAGTGGCTTCGACGCTCTGCCTGGCTCCAACAGAAAAAGATAAGGGAATCTCAATTAAAGCGAAACCAATTTCTGAGTGCTTGGGATAGCTTAACGAGGGGATAAAAGTTCCAAGTATGGGAAATGTAGCCAGATGAAACATTGTTTGGAATCAAGTTAAGTTCTTGTCCTTGTTTCATGGAAGCCTAGCTTGGAAGATTCATGCTTAAGTATTTCTTGTCATAGAATCATAGAATCAAAGAGTTGGAAGAGACCTCATGGGCCATCCAGTCCAACCTCCTTCCAAGAAGCAGGAATATTGCATTCAAATCACCCCTGACAGATGGCCATCCAGCCTCTGCTTAATATGCTTGTTTCATAGTTTTGATTCTTGGATTTTATGACTACATACTCATGCCTTGGATTAATGTTTCCTGGTTTTCTGGATTATATTAGAGAAGTGTGGACTTTGTTTTCATGAACTTTGCTGAGCTTTATCCTGAACTATTTTGGTTCCTGCTTATCTTCTTGCCTAATTAGATTTACCTATTTCTTTAAAGTGCTTTTTTACTTTGCTGCTTTTTAATTATCTCCAATAAAAGGATTGTTTTCCTATTCAACGTGTGGTCTTTAAAGTCAGAGGGCTTTTCCTGTCCTGTGCAACAAACCGATTCGTAACCCTTTTGGGACTAATGTTGGAGAGTGGTCCCTGGTTAAGTGGTCTCTGGTCAAACAAAGATTGGGAACCACTGGTATACAGTAAGCACTGCTTTTTCCCCTTATACAAGCCAGAGTGTCTGAAGCATGACACAAGGCAACATCCCAGTTCTCTTGATGGCTTTACGGTAAATGGCCCTGAGCACTCTGAATGGAGGAGTGATTCAGTGTAATTTAAAGGATAAATAGAAACAAATGGGACACGGTAACATTTATGCAGTATTGCCTTGCCAGTTGACATTTTAAACTTTGTAATTTGGGGCAAATGATGCAAGGAAGGGGGAGAACTGAGAGGATAAGAGTGGCATGAGTCATCTTCTTCAAGGCTGGGCAATCTTTGGCCCCTCGGACATTAATAAACTAGAGTTCCCATAATCAATCATCACCTATCAGGCCCACTTATCTTGACATAGAATCTAGTCATATATTTCATGCTGCTGGGACTGTTTTTTTTCCCCTGAAAACGGCTTGCTATTCCCTTTATTCAATCACAATTCAACATCAAATAATAGTTATCAGCTAAAGAGTTGATAAGAGTCCCGGCCTAGGAATGAGACGGCTCAGCTCTTCTGCTCCGTGCTGGGCTTTGTCCTTACCTGCCGCCGGTACTATTCTCTGAAGCTGCTTCTTGGTCTGTTTTTACGTCTTTGTCTTCTGGCACATTTTCTACATTCAGAGACTTCTTCAATGAAAAAGCCTTGGCAATGAGGCGGTGGATGCTTTTGTGAAGCGCATCGTCTGTGGAAGCTTCAATTGTGGTGCCTTCACTGTTTTGGATGTCTGAGACGAGCATTTCAGCACTGAGCGTGACAATTTGAGCACTTGTGGACTCTGGCTGATTTTCTGGCGTGGTATTTTCGAGGATTTCCAATATGGTTTCCATAGCTGGCGTGTGCTCTCTAGTCACAGGCTCCTCGCCAGAGACTGCAAAGGCGTATTTCAAAATGGCATCAATGTTGGTGCGAAGGCGCATCTCAGGAGAAGGTGAAGTAGTCTCACTTGTAGCTGTGTCGGGTGGCTTGGTTGGAGCTGAAGAGATGACAATAATCTCTTCTATGACTGGAGAAGGCTCAGGCTCAGGGCATGGGATCCTCTATTGGGGGTAGAGTGGGTAAATATGACTACATTGCATCATCAAAGGCCTTCACAGCCAAAATCACAGAGGTGTTATGTGGTTTCTGGGACGTATGGCTGGGTTCTAGCAGCATTTTCTGCCAACGTTTCAGGATCTCTGAAGATGCCCGCCACAGATGCAGGTGAAATGTCAGGAGAAAATGCTACTGGAACACAGCAATACAGGCCAGAAACCACACAACTACATTGTTTTGTATATACAATTTCATTACATCCCACCACATGAAAATAGTGGATGTCGCTCTTAATGAGACATGCCGCATAATCATGGGGTGTCTGTGCCCTACACCACTGGAGAAATTACACTGTTTAGCCAGTATTGCACCACCTGACATCCGCCGGGAAGTAGCAACCAATAGTGAAAGGACCAAGGCAGTGACATCTCCAGCCCACCCCCTGTTTGGATATCAGCCATTACACCAATGACTTAAATCAAGAAATAGTTTTCTAAGATCTACAGAGACACTCGCTGGAACACCTCAGCAAGCAAGAGGCCAAAAGTGGCAGGCTCAAACCCAGAACCTCAATCAATGGCTGATACCAAATGAGAGACTCCCTCCTGGGCACACTGAAGACTGGGCAACTTGGAAGGAGATGAACAAACTGCGCTCTGGCACCACAAGATGCAGAGCCAACCTTAAGAAATGGGGCCACAAAATGGAGTCCACAGCAAGTGTGGAGAAGAGGAAACCACTAACCACCGACTACAATGCAACCTGGGCTCTTCCACATGCACAATGGAGTACCTACTTGCAGCAACACCAGAGGCACTCCAAGTGGTCAGCTACTCATCAAAGGACATTTAATAGAATGCCAAGTTTCAAACTTTGTGTGTGTGTGTGTGTTTTTAATACAGTACAACTGTTTGGTTCGCCCCTGATACCATAAATTAATAAATAAATAAATCTCATGTTTCTTTTCATTCTCCCATATGGAGCTGTTTCCCACTTGTCTCTAGTCCATTATATAGTATCTATCCTTGAAAATGTTATTCCGAATTACCCTTTTCCTCACTGTCAATATTCAATCGAGCCTGCTATCAACTTAAATCCATTGCCCAACAATGGTCTCCTAAAACAATACACCCGAGAGTGTGTTGACACCCCTAATTCTAAATGTCTCTACATTATGTTAGCTGTGGGAGAGTTCCCTTGTTTGTGCCCAGGTGCCACTTGGGGAAGGAGAATAAACATGGCTTTGTTCTTTTAGCCTCAGGATGATTCCACCTCTCAGATTGTCAACAGTCAGTGGCCTCTTAATTGGCATGGATTTTGCTTTACTTTATTCCATGCTGTTGGGTTTCATCCCTGGACTGCACATGTTTTTGTGTCATCAAGTTTCTAGTCCTCAATGAGTAGCTAGGCTAGAAACAGGGCTAAGCTCAGGGATTCCTTTCACCACATTCCTATGCATGTCTTCCTAAAGGGCTTTGTCTTTACAGCTAGTCACTCTTTCATCCCCCTTTGATGATGTAATGGAACCGCTCTGAATTGCCCCTGGGCAATATGGTAAATATATAAACAAACAAACAAATAAATAAATAATGTGAGAGAACTTCTATTTAAGTTTGAATTGCCCTGGGGAGCCCATGCGGTCTCCACAATTCCTCTTCTGCTTTACTTTCTCCCAGTGAGGATGCATTTTGCCTCTCTGCAGGCAAAATTTAGCTGCATGGACTTTTTTTTAACCTTTTACTTTCTTGATAAGATGAGATTTAATAAGCTAGTTAGCTCCAAGACTTTTCTATCAAGAATATATTTCTTTTTAGTTTAATAAATGTTTTGAACCCAAAGTTCTGACTCTGGAATGCTATACCCTCCTAAAGATTAGAAGGCCATCCCTTCTCACTACACGTAAGTTTCTGCTGGTTATGGAGTTTACTCCTGGTACTTTGCTATATTTTGGTGGAATTACCCTAACTGGGGGTTATTTTTGAGCATAACAGCTCAGATTCCCCAACACAGGCATTTCCCCTTCATTTTTGGCTCTTCCAGTCTGCATTCTCATCCCAGCTCTCTTCTGGAGGGCCTCAGTTCAGACCCATGGCTTGTAGCTGCCTTTGGACTGATACACTTGCTATGCACAAACCATAGGTAATGGTAAAAGTTTTCCCCTGACATTAAGTCCAGTTGCGTCTGATTCTGGGGTGTGGTGCTCATCTCCATTTCTAAGCCAATGAGCTGGCTTTGTCCATAGACTCCTCCAAGGTCATGTGGCTGGTATGACTGAATTTGGCAGTGCCGTTACCTTCCCAGCGGAGCAGTACCTATTGATCTACTCACATTTGCATGTTTTTGAACTGCTAGGTTGGCAGACACTGGGGCTGACAGCGGAAGCTCATGCCGCTCCCTGGATTCAAACCTGCAACCTTTTGGTCAACAAGCTCAGCAGCTCAGCGGTTTAACCCACTGTGCCAATGGGGGCTCCTTGCACAAACCATAGAGAGAAGTAAAATTAATTAGGGACTTCCAATTAAATACAGAAGACTTCACTCTCCCTAATTTTAGGGTAATTCTTTTCCTTACAATTATTTTCTAAAGGAAGTAGCTAAAGTCTCTAAGCAAGTTCTGGTCTGCCTGTTAACTGAGGCACAAACACTTTAGTAGTTCTTCCTTACTCACCCTAGCATAGAAGTGATGATTTATGCACCGAGACTGTGCAAATTCACAAAAGTTCTCAAAACGTGTGTTCTCAGGAAGATCAGTACAAATGGGACCTGGAAGAATAAAGATGAAAATTATTACGATTGGGCGAGGGGTAGCGAGACTTCAAACTGAATCCTGGCAACATCAGAGTCCTGGATTTTGAATTGAATTTTAATTGAATTTGAACCTTGTGCTATGCTAATAATGTAATGTAATGCAATGCAATGCAATGTAATATATTGTATATACATAAAATATTTATAATATTATAATGTAATACAATATAATGGAAAGCTTAGAGAAGACAATTATGCTGGGGAAAATGGAAGGAAAAAGGAAGAGGGGCCAACCAAGGGCAAGATGGATGGATGGCATCCTTGAAGTGACCAGCTCGACCTTGAAGGAGCTGGGGGTGGTGATGGCCGACAGGGAGCTCTGGCGTGGGCTGGTTCATGAGGTCACGAAGAGTCAGAAGCGACTGAACGAATGAACAACAACAAATAAAATATAATACTAATAATATATTAGTATTATATATTTTATATTACATGTAATATTAACAATATAATGGTATAGTACAATATAGTAATATATAATACTGATATTGTACTATGCTAATAATATAATATATTGTATGTATATATATCTTGTATGCCACTCTGAGTCCCCTTTGGGGTGAGAAGGGCACCATATAAATGTCGTAAATAAATATATATATAAATAAATTGAGAAAATAGGACAAGCTCAAGCAATGCACAATTGCCTATTTTCACAAGCTTTCCTGGATGTGGGTGCATGCACAATGCGATAGTTCTTGAAATGTAAACTTGGAAGCATTTAATTAAAATGAGGGTTTTCAGATTTATAGACATTTTCCTGTAAAATATGAATAATCTTGAATTTAATACTGCAGACTAACAAAAGTTCCTAAATATCATTTGCAAGTTATAAAACTCTGGGTTGGGTGGAGGGGATGTTGATATATGTTTTGTGATGGTCTTTGGTGACCCTCTGAAACCCCCTCGTGATTCCCGCCCCCCCCCCCCCCCAGGGTCCCGATCTCCAAGTTCAGAAATGCAGAGTCCAGGCTATTTGGCAGATATTTTCTGAGAAAACATGGAGACAGCGTGATATGTTGGGAGAGGGTGCATATAAATTGTTGGAGCATGTAAAAATCAGTCTGTGTGTGTGTTAACTGAAAAATGCAAAGCACAAAGCTGATTGGTTGGGCTACGCTCAGGATGCTAGCTGAGCCAGGGAATTTTGGCAACAGTTACATATTTAGGTTTTCTGTGCAGGAGCTTGTCAAGACAAGTTTGTATAATCTCTGCTTCTGAGCTGCTGGAAGGAGATTCTTCACATGGACACTCAAGGACCATTTGAATCTCTCTCAAAGGACATTGTGTGAGTCAATGCAACTATTCATATTACTGTATATATGTTGCTCTGCATAATAGAGTGAACACCTTATTCTTTACTGAACATCTGTGTGGCATATCTTTTCTCTAGCAAGACAGTGTGTGGATTGGTAAATACGTAAACTATGTGTGATATTCCCCATAGTCACCTTCGGATGTGAGAGCTGGACCTTAAGGAAGGCCGAGTGAAGGAAGGTTGATGCTTTTGAACTGTGGTGCTGGAGGAAAGTTCTGAGAGTGCCTTGGACCGTGAGAAGACCCAACCAGTCCATACTTCAGGAAATAAAGTATGGAGGGAAGGATAGTAGAGGCAAAGATGAAGTACTTTGGCCACATCATGAGAAGACAGGAAAGCTGAGAGAAGACAATTATGCTGGGGAAAATGGAAGGAAAAAGGAAGAGGGGCCACCAAGGGCAAGATGGATGGATGGGATCCTTGAAGTGACTGGATTGACCTTGAAAGAGCTGGGGGTGGTGACGGCTGACAGGCGTGGGCTAGTCCATGAGGTCACGAAGAGTCGGAAACGACTGAATGAATGAACAACAAAAAAATGTGTGATTTTCATTCCACCACATAAACGACTTAAATGGATGTAATGTTAGGGTTCAAGATTACTTTCGTTTGCTCACAGAAAGGCTACAGAAGAAAGTGCAACCAGTGCCTATCACCATAAAAAGGTGCTGGAGAGTAACTGAAGAGAGCGCCATTGATTTGCACATACCCTCTGGGATCTCGCCGTGGTTCTCAAACCGATCCAGAGGCATTATTCTAGGATCATGGCACCCCTTGCTGTGCCGGATCTGACACAAGTGGTTTGCCTTCCACACGGGCTTTTGGAAAGAGAAAAAGGTGTCATATTCATCCTCCGTGAGAGGGGTGCCTGGGACTGTCGTCAGAACACTTGGAGTTAACTGCGTCAGAAAGACTGGGAGCCCTAAAAGAAAAGGAAGAGGGAAGAATATTAAGCGGTGGGAAGAGTTCCACAGCTATCCTATTATCACTGTTCCTGGCCCATAGAGTTCACTCCCACCTAAAGCTCTCTGGCCATTAAGTGCTAATAGCAAATTAAAAATGTAGGACTGCATAAAATATTATTTAAAACATAGGCTTTGTAAAAGGGACAAGGTCAGAACAGGGCAGCCAAGATCCTCTTTCTGGCTTTTAGGTATTATTCTGCAACACACTTTCCTGGAAGCTCCATGAGCAAAGGTGCCTCTCCAATAACACAAGCATGTGTGCCTTTCAGTATTGAACCACTAGGTTCTTTAAGAATAGCAGAAGAGGGCCATCTGTCGTCCAAAACAGAAATGCAATCTGAAATATATGTATTCTGAAGCCACTGAATACGTGAGCCTTCTCAAACCCAAAGGAGCCCCAGGTAGTGCAGTGGGTTAAAGCACTGAGCTGCTGAACTTGCTGACTGAAAGGTCACAGGTTCGAATCTGGGGAGCAGGGTGAGCTCCCACTGTTAGCCCCAGCTTCTGCCAACCTAGCACTTTGAAAACATGCAAATGTGAGTAGAATAATAGTATTGCTCCTGCAGGAAGGTAACAGTGCTCCATGAAGTCATGATGGCCACATGACCTTGGAGGTGTCTATGGACAACGCTGGCTCTTCGGCTTAGAAATGGAGATGAGCACCAACCTCCAGAGTCAGACACGGCTGGACACAACTGGGGAAAACCTTTACCTACCTTTACTTCTCAAATCCAAACTTCATTTACTAATGAATATTTCTGCAACAGAATTAACACATTTTTACTGTTCACTATAAAATAATAAACATCTCAAAAAAGGATTTTGTTCTCAAAATGACCTGTAAAAAATGGTAAAGGTTTCCCTTTGACATTAAATCTAGTCATATCCGACTCTGGGGGGTGATGGTCATCTCCATTTCTAAGCCGAAGAGCCGGTGTTATCCGTAGATGCCTCCAAGGTCATGTGGCCAGCATGACTGCATGGGGCAGCGTTTCCTTCCCACCGAAGCGGTACCTACTGATCTACTCACATTTGCATGTTTTTGAACTGTTAGGTTGGCAGAAGCTGGGGCTAACAGCAAGAGCTCACCCCCCAACTCTTAGCCCCAACCTTTTGGTCAGCAATTTCAGCAGCTCAGCAGTTTAACCCGCTGCACAACGGGGGCTCCAAAATTACCTGTACCTGACAAAAATTAAAAGACAAATATTGTTTTTATATAGGTACACAATGAGCATGGATTTGTGCTTGAAGAGCTTCTAACCGCAATAAAAAGGAGGAAGAATTACAATTCTGATTGGGGTCCTAATTCAAGATGCAGCTTTTTTTACAAAGCAGAAATGTTGTAATTACAAAATCCTATTAGAAATTATGTACAAGCTGTGTCCATCCCTCTAGATCAAAGAACGACAACTTTTTCTTTTGATATACTAAATTGATCCCTTTGCTCATAATCAGGTCAACTGTTTTCTATCCCACAAACTGGTTCAATAATGTCAGACGTGTCTTTGGGATTAGATGAGTAGCTCATTTGTAGGCCCCTAAAAAAGCTTTATGGATCCCTCTGCCGGCTTTATTTAGACTTCGTTGCTTGTCATAGAACGCAGACCACCAATGTGATGGTAGTTCTAGGGGATGTGAGTCCCAAGTAGATGAATGGAAAGCTGAAGGAAACCCATTGGGGCAGACACTCACCCACCAGGAGGGCCCATGGTGGGGGCTTGAGTCTCAGCGTAGGCATTCTGCCTCTTTTACTTCAAGCGGTTCCACTTCCCACCAACACACCCTTCCATTTCAAGGGCCGACCAAGTCAGAAGCTGTTAGAATGAGAACACAGTGACCTCACAACTGAAGCCATGGCAAGAGGAAGGAGGGAGAAAGGGAGGGTGCACGTGCAAGTAAGAAAGCAACGCTGGTCTTCTCTATCATCAGGTTTGGGCTGCCATCAAAGGCAGCACACAAATCTGACTAATGGGGCACTGCCCATTGTAAATCTTTCACTAAAATGAATGGGCCTAAGAGTATGAATAAATTTTCAACCAGCTATAATCTATTTGGAGGGCAGGGAGGATTATGCAGAAGGCTGTTATACGAATCCATAGGAAGGTGCCATTTTTGGCTTCTTATCCTTTGGGGTTTTTTTTCATGTCAGGAGCGACTTGAGAAACTGCAAGTCACTTCTGGTGTGAGAGAATTGGATGTCCGCAAGGACGTTGCCCAGGGCCCTCCAGATATTTTGATGTTTTCCCATTCTTGTGGGAGGCTTCTCTCACGTCCTTGCATGGGGAGCTGGAGTTGACAGAGGGAGCTCATCCGTGCTCTCCCCGGAATCAAACCTGCGACCTGTCAGTCTTCAGTCCTGGCAGCACAAGGGTTTAACCCATTGCACCAACGGAGGCTCCTTTATCCTTTGGTATCGAGTCTTCTTTAGAGATAGTCAGCAGTAATCGACATACCAAATGAATTGAGAGGGTTTAAAGCATGCAGCAGAAGAGAAGTTTCAATACATAAGTGACAAGGTACAAAGGGTAAACTTTATATCCAGGACAACATGGTCACAGCAAGTTTCTCATATTTGATAGATGTTTATAGATTTTCCCCAGTACGACCTGCCGTAATTTGCTAAGCTTTGTTTTTTCAGAGGCCTGCACATTCCCCCCTTTTTTGTGCAAGGAGCAACTTGAGAAACTGCAAGTCGCTTCTGGTATGAGAGAATTGGCCCTCTGCAAGGACATTGCCCAGGGGACGCCCAGATGTTTTTGATGTTTTACCATCCTTGTGGGAGGCTTCTCTCATGTCCCCACATGGGGAGGTGGAGCCGACATAGGAGCTCACCCATACTCTCCCTGGATTTGAACATCCAACCTGTCAATCTTCAGTCCTCCCAGTACAATGGTTTAACCCATTGTGCCACTGGTACCTTTTTGTTGCGACCTACACAGTGGTTGTTGATACCATTAGATCAGCTTCCATGCATAAATTTAAACTGGAAATAGACAAAGTATGAAAAGAGTACCACGTCAGCATAAAATGCCAGTCAAGAAATAGTACTGTTCCAATATCTGAGGGTCCTCCAATATATTAAGAAGTAGTAATGCAAACTATTGCATCCAGCGCAGAACAGAACAGAACACAATCCAAAATTCAAAATGGTCTCTCAGGCAGAGACCTACCAAGGGCTTTTGCTTTTCAAATTACAGTCCTTAATTCTTTCTTGTTGCTCCCATCTGTCTACCTCCAGATAAACAATGCAATAGTTTCTAGGTACACTCACAGTAAAACCAAAGAGTTCACCAAGGATTGTAAAGGCAGTTTGATATCGTAACTGGAAGACAGAACAGTAAAACATTATTCATAATCTTCACCATCAGAATTTTCAATTTATATTCAGTTAAAGGACTTGTTTCGTTATATACTATATTCACAGAGGCATTAGATCTATGGTGAAAATGGCTCCACTGGCTACTGATCCAATTCTAAAAACAATTCACACTAAGTAACATAGTGATGGTACTGTCCTGATTTTTAAGCTGTGACACTTTGTGGAACTCGTTTACCTGTAAGCTTCGGTTTGTTCCTATCTTATATTTTAAGGCACTATGCAATGAAGGCACTCCTAAGGCCTAATGATCACATTTGTAAGCCCTGTCTTGTGCTGCTGTTAGTTATTTTACATTATTTCAATTTGTCAATAACCTAAGTTGTGGTGCCTAGAACTGGACACTACATCTTTCCAGATGAGGTCTCACCAAAGCGTGAATGCATATGTTGCCACTAGATCTGATCTGCATTACTGTCAGTGGAGAAATATACCCCCAAATCTCCAATAATAATGTGATATACATTGATATCTTTATGCCCACAGCTGATCTTGATTTCTCCTGATAAATGTCTTATTATAGTTTCTCAACTCACTCTAGAAACTTTATTCTGCCTCATTTATCAAATTTTAGCATCCAGCAACTTATCATTTTTGTTTGTTTCTTCCAGTAAAATTCCCTTTTGCCTTCTTCTTCTCTTGGTCTCTCATTGTATTTTTTTTCACAAGATTATAGGCAAATTTATTATTTTATTTATTTATTTAGAACTTTTATATCCCGGTCTTCTCAACCTCCAGAGAGGGACTCAGGCCGGCTAACAACAGAAATTCCATACACAAATAAACTAATAACATAATAACATCATAATACATTAAAATACAAACGAATAAATACATAAAGCCAAATCATCAAGATAAAATCACATTCATCACAATCTGCCAGTGTGGTCAGTAGTTGTTGACTCGCCAATCATTCTGAGAATGCTGTCCCAGAGCCAGGATTTCACTACCTTTCTGAAAGTCAGGAGGGAAGGGGTAGATCTAATCTCCATCGGGAGAGAGTTCTACAGCCGAGGGGCCACCACCAAGAAGGCCCTGTCTCTCGTCCTCACCAGACATGATTGCAAAGATGGTGGGACTGAGAGCAGGGCCTCTCCAGATCTTAACAACCTTGATGGTTCGTAGGGGAGAATCCATTCGGACGGGTAAACTGGGCCGGAGCTGTTTAGGGATATAGGGAGTTCCCAAGTTACAGACATCCGACAGGGCCGGGCTTTAGCACAGCAGGTTAATCACCAAGCTGCAATAAATCTTGCCAACCAGAAGGTTGACAGTTAAAACCGAGGTCAGGGGTGCACGCCTGACCCAGCTTCCGCCAACCGAGCAGTTTGAAAACAAGTATGTGAATACGGTAGATAAATAGGAACCGCTTTAAAGTGGGGAGGTATTTTAGGCATGGACGTTTGGATCAGAAAAAGGAGGAAAGTTTACAAAGAAAAATCCTCTTCAGCAAGGAGACTCTAAAGAATGGGAAAGCCTAAATACATATCTCTATCTGTTGTCTGCCTTGTCATTGTAAAACTGGCACTGAATGTTTGCTGTATGTGTTCTGTGATCTGCCCTGAGTCCTCTTCTGGGTGTGAAGGATGGAATATAAATACAGTAAATAAATAATAATAATCTGCCTCATAATTATGAACAGGGGCAAGGCAACAGAAAGTGAGACCAAATCTACCCCTTGGAGGGGGAATTCACTCTTAGAAGAGTTATTATCATGGGAAAAGGGTGCCTCCACTAAAGTTTTCTTAACAATCTTTATTTCCACAAGTCAAAATTTTCAAAATCCAATTGTCACAGGGACAGAAAGTGAGGTGAAATTTTCTGAACAGAGACACAGACAACAAAAGAAATGGCACAATGGTAACCATTCCCTATGCTATGCAAAATATATTTGGCTGGAGTTACACTTGAAAAATGTACCTGTTCCAATTTTCATACAATTGAAGAACAAACCCACAGAACATATAGAATCATAGAGTTGGAAGAGACCACATTGGCCATCCTGTCCAGCCCCCTGCCAAGAAGCAGGAAAATCGCAAAGCACTCCCGACAGATGGCCATCCAATCTCTACTTAAAAGTCTCCAAAGAAGGAGCCTCCACCACACTCTGGGGCAGAGAGTTCCCCTGCTCAACAGCTCTTAGGAAGTTCTTCCTAATGTTCTAGTGGAATCTCCTTTCCTGTAATTTGAAGCTATTGTTCCACGTCCTAGTCTCCAGGGCAGCAGAAAACAAGCCTGCTCCCTCCTCCCTATGACTTCCCCTCATATTTATACATGGCTGTAATGTCTCCTCAGTCTTCTCTTCTGCAGGCTAAACATCCCCAGCTCTTTAAGCCACTGCTCATAGGGCTTGTTCTCCAGACCCTTGATCATTTTAGTCACCCTCCTCTGGATACATTCCAGCTTATCAACATCTCCCTTCAACTGCAGTGCCCAGAACTGGACACAATATTCCAGCTGTGGTCTGACAAAGGCAGAATAGAGGGATAGCCTGACTTCCCTGGATCTAGACACTATATTCCTATTGATGCAGGCCAAAATCCCATTGGCTTTTTTTGCCGCCGCATCACAATGTTGGCTCATGTTTAACTTGTTGTCTATGAGGACTCCCAAGATCTTTTTCATATGTACTGCTCTCGAGCCATGCATCCCCCATTCTGTATCTTTGCATTTCATTTCTTCTGCCTTATCTTGCCCTTAAACCTGGACCTACCTGCATACAGATATTTTCAGAATGAAATTATCACAGAAAATACTAACACGAAAGGACATTTCCTTGTCAAAAAAAATTAATATTGTTGATCATAGGCTATCTACTCTAAATTGAAAAGCACACCAACACTTGTTGAATTGGTTTTATTTATTTAATGCCATATGTTACAAAGGGTTTCCCCTCAAAAAAGCACCACCAAAAGAGGAGGGAGACTGACTGGCCTCCTTTACAAAATCCATTAACTTTCCATTCAGCAGGCAGCACAGAACTCTTGCCTCATAGAAGGGATTTATCCATTGTAGAAGACGAGACACGATTCCAGATGGTTCTAAACCATTCCTCTCCCTTTGAAAAATGGAATGTTGTGGGATGGGGAGAAAGAACAAGGGGCCCATCTTCTTAAATCGCTTACTGGCAAAAGGGCTGGCTCTGCTGCCCCCATTCCAAGGCACAGCTTGGAAAATCAGGAGGGAACATTTTGTTCTTCTTTAGGTATTCAGGCATCATTCCTTCCCCCACAAATAAGTCTTGTTTTCCTTTAGAGGAAACCTAGGGAGGGTATAAGGCTGTAGAAAAGAAGAGGGCTTACTCCATCTGCCTCCAAGAGCAAGCGGCGAGTGTTGCAGTACACACACAAGGGGACCATCGTATAGGTACAAACCATTCACAGGTAACTCTCCTCACCAAAGGTGAGACCCCCCTAACTATGAGGCCCCACGAACTGGGGAAAAGAGCGCTGAAGTCCAGGAGCAGAGTTGGCCGCTCTAACACCAGTATCAGAACCCTAGAAGACTTGGTTTTTATTTCTTCTTCCTCTCCTGGGAACAGCGAGGACAGAACCTGTAGCAGAAAGGCAAAGGAAGTAAGTGACACACAAATAGCATTTCAGGGAAGGTGCTGTATATCAATATTACAATATTCATATAGAAAACCATGTCATGTAAATTGGGTATACCGAACACATAGCGAATGGCATTACCATTAAGAATGTTAAGACAATAATTCAGAGTTTGGGTGTTGTTAAGAACAGCATAATGGGAGATAGTTAAATTTATATCAGTGCTTCTTAAACTGTGGGCCTTGACCCAAAATGGAGTCCCCTGAGGTGAGTGTTGGGGGTCACAAAATATAGCAGTAGTAAAATGTTTCTAAAGGCCAGCTAGTAGAGGTTTTAGACCAGAGGTCCTCAAACTTTTTAAACAGAGGGCCAGGTCACAGTCCCTCAAACTGTTGGAGGGCCGGATCAGGAAACCTATGCCATCAGGAAACAGGAGTGGTATTTCAATTTTATATATTTAATTTAATTTATTTTTTATCCTGCCTTTCTACTGATAGGAACTCAAGACGGATGGCTACCAGTGACACAAGATAAAAGAATGTAAAAGCATGGCAAATACATATACATATGAATATAAAAATCAACATACAATTAAAATACAATTAAAAACTAGAGCTCTGCAGGAGTGAAATATCTTAATATGATTCTGTTCATTTATTTTCTTAAATTATGGGCCTTGTTAAAAACCTATGAGGCCCCATTAGAATACAGATTTAAGTAAAACAGACTGAAGACAAGGGAAACCTAGAAAAATTAAAATAAATAGGAATTAACGCCTCTATGAAGGGCCCCCTGGTGGCATAGTGGGTTAAACCGCTGAGCTGCTGAACTTGCTGACCGAAAGGTTGTTGGTTCGAGTCTGGGGAGCGGGATGAGCTCACGCTGTTAGGCCCAGCTTCTGCCAACCTAGCAGTTTGGAAGGTAATGGCGTTCCATGCAGTCATGCTGGCCTAGAAGGTGTCTACGGATAATGCCGGGTCTTTGGCTTAGAAATGGAGATGAGCACTACTCCCCAGAGTCGGACACGATTAGACTTAATGTCATGGAAAACCTTTACTAAGGCCTCAACAAAGAGAATGGGACTATACCAGGCATGAGCAAACTTCAGCCCTCCAGGTGTTTTGGACTTCAACTCCCACAATTCTGGAGGTTGAAGTCCAAAACACATGGAGGGCTGAAGTTTGCCCATGCCTGGACTATACAGATGAAAGGATCATATTATGTAAACAAGAAGAAAATTGGTTCTTAAAGGCCATACTATGACCCAATCATGTCACCAACATATCTCAAATGCTGTTGTTGTGTGTTTTTATATCATGCCTGACTTTTGAAATGTTCTTGGCACTATTTGTTCAAAAGGGAGGTGGCCCTTGCCTTCTTTTGGAGTTGAGTGTGACTTGCCCAAGGTCACCAGTGGATTTCCGCAGCCAAGGGAGATTTGAACCCTGTTTTTTCAGTGTCCTCATCCAACACTCAAACCACTACACCACACTCAATTACTTGATCTATAGAAGTGGACGACTAATGTAAGGGGGGAAAGCAAGATACAGGAACTAACTATGAACAATTTTGCAATAAGGTTAAAGCCTGGCTTCCAGTTCAGACAAAGGCAGCCCAGCTCTCAATAACAGGAAATCTACAGGACTCCCCATTTGCAATGCATTTACAGAGAATGTTGAAATAAGAGACCTTTCCCTTATAGATATTGTTAGCTCTTCTGAATGGTCTTCCCACCGCCAAAGGCCAGAATTTCAGTATCTTAGATCCCCCAGAGAACACTGAGTTGGCATTTAAAAAACCTATCAAGTAGATGGAGAGCTGGTTACTCACCATTTCCCTCTTGGTTTTGTCGTCAAGCCCACACAAGCAAAATGGAACCATTCGATTGAGCACTAGAGAAGAGTATAAAAACATTACTACTTTTATTAATACTACTTCCACTACCACAACTACTAGTTTTATATCCTGTCACCAAAAACTGGAACTAAGCTACTAGCACTGAAAAGCAATTTAAGACATACAATCTAGAGATGATGGGAAAGTTTTAAAACTGAACAGTTGAAACACTAAATGTAGTACTTCACCATCAACAGCCTGTTAGAATGAAAAAGTCTGCTGATGGAATGACTGCAAGAAAGGGGCCATTCTAGCCTCCCTGAGAAAGAAGTTCCTGAGCCTGGGGCAGCCACCAAGGAGGTCTTATCACACATTTTCATCAGTTGTGCCTGTAAAAGGACCCCTCTTGAGTATCCCTGGTCTCAGGCAGACTCAAATGGGAGATCCTGGACCATCAATGAATACAAAGTGCTGTAGGCTATATTTCAGAGGAAAGAATTGGCAAAACCCTGATTATCCCATGCTTTAGAAAACTCAAGCTGTCAACTCCATGATTCCATAAGAGGCGGTTATAATAGTTATAGAGTGATGGGGCAGTTTATCTCACAAAATAAAGAGTTGGGGGATAATGCTGAATGGTGTGAACTGTAGTACTAGATCACACCATAACTGTGGAATGACCAGCCACAAAAGATTTAATAGCTAAAGCAGTGGTTCTCAACCTGGGGTCCTCAGATGTTTTTGGCCTACAACTCCCAGAAATCCCAGCCAGTTTACCAGCTGTTAGGATTTCTGGGAGTTGAAGGCCAAAAACATCTGGGGACCCCAGGTTGAGAACCACTGAGCTAAAGGAACTCTAGAATTTAAAACACAGCTGAAGACCTATCTCTTCCAGCAGGACTACCCAATTTTAAAATTTGATTTTTAAATTAACATTGTTTATTGTGTTTTAACTTTTGTCTCATGCGTTTTAATGCGTCTGTTTTAATATATGCATTTATGGGTCTATTTTAACTACGTTTCAATATGTGCTTTTATAGATATTACTATGTTGTGCCTTGCTTCGAGCCAAAAAGAGAGGCAGATAATAAATATTATTATGATTATTATTACTACATAATATGTCAATTTGTTACAAGTTTTAGAATCCCGGATATTGCCAAAAATGTGATGTATGCACTCACATTTGCAAGTATTTACTGTTCCCTAAACAAGAGGGGAAAAACAGCATTTACCACCCAACTCCCACTCCTTCCCCCCAACCCCCCAAAGTCTCTTACATCTGGGTTGTCGCAACCAATCATCTCCCCATACGAGACCTGGTGGCAGAGGCAATAGGTAGGCTCATTGGGATCCACAGGCATGTCCAGTACGTCAGAGGGGTGCACGTTGCCGAAGGTAACTGAAGGCATCCCGTACTCTGTGCTGCTTCAAGGGGGGGAAAGCACAGTTAAGTTAGTCAATGACAACCGGTCCTCACCACTTGCACAGTGAAACCCCTGCAGGTGAAATCTATCTTTCATCTCACCTCACCACAGAATCTGCTACTTTAACCTCCCGGAGAATTCAAGAACTTGCCAGACTGACATTTCCCACAACCTGGCCTGTTAGATCTTCACCTCTTCCCACACCCCAGTCAAAGAGATTTTCTAGTCACAGGAAAAACAAAACAAGAAGCACGTGCTAGACTGGATTAAAATAGAGGAGATCTGATCTTAGGGGAACTCAGGCTGTACATATGGGCATGAACTAATCAGGCCTAAGGCTGCTGTATCTTCCCAGTCACTCACGTGCGCACTAACTTCAGCTTCTTTTGTGCTGTCTTTGGTGCTTCCTCATCCGAATTCTTTCCCTTGGAGCGGGCACGGGCGGCTTTCTTCTCTTTCTGGGCCCGGCCTTCTGTGCACACAATATACAATATAGAAAGGGAGTAGCAAATATAATTTCTCCATCACATATATAGCATTTATTTGCTTAACTAGTGCGGGGTGAGCTCCTACTGTTAGCCCCAGCTTCCGCCAATCTAGCAGTTTGAAAACATGCAAATGTGAATAGATCAATAGGTACCGGTGCGCCATGCAGTCATGCCGGCCACATGACCTTGGAGGTGTCTACAGACAACGCCGGCTCTTCAGCTTAGAAATGGAGATGGGCACCACCCCTCAGAGTTGGACACAACTAGACTTAATGTCAAGGGAAAACCTTTGCCTTTATGGGTAAGAGGGCGATCAAGAGCTGCCCTATCTGAGCAAAAGGTCCTACTATGTTCATGCAGATCAGCAACTGGTTTTTGGTTGTCTGTGGGGTTTTAGGAAAAATCAGGGATGCCACTTTAGAAAAGAGATTTTAACTCCTTTCCCCAATTTAAATACCTTAAATAAAATATGGGGAAAGCCTTTTAAGTATGCTTTTATAACACGCCACTAAGAGAGACGATAGGATGAAAAAACTAGGATGAAAGATTGTGACTGGTCGTTACCCAGTATCCTCCTTGAGTAAAAGTCTGAAGTCAGATATATCCAATTCAAGTCAAATACTCTTATCAATCACATGTCATACCTTCTTTGGATTAATACCCTCAACTTCAACACAAGACAATATAATAGGGGTCCTCAAACTTTTTAAACAGAGGGCCAGGTCACAGTCCCTCAAATTGTTAGAGGGCCGGATTATAATTTGAAAAAAGCATGAATGAATTCCGATTCACACTGCATAGGAATGTTTTGTAGTGCAAAAAACACTTCAAAACAATACAATAATTAAAATGAAGAATGGTTTTAACAAATATAAACTTATTAGTATTTCAATGAGAAGTGTGGGCCTGCTTTTGGCCGATGAGATGGGATTGTTGTTGTTGTGTGCTTTCAAGTCATTTTAGACTTAGGTTGATCCTGAGCGAGGGCCTGATAAATGACCTTGGAGGGCCGTATCCGGCCCCTGAGCCTTAGTTTGGAGACCCCTGCAATATAATGTAGCCAACTTCAATATATATCTATTTGATTTATCCCAAAGTCTGAAATTCTACTGTCACAGGACATCTCACACATCCCATCTTCATACCACCTCCCTAAAGTTCAACAAAAGTGTACACAAACAGGAATTCCCGGCTCACTTTTTTTGCCTTTGCTGGATGAGCTGTCATAATCACTTGATTCAATTTGTTTCTCTTTCAGGTCAGCTTCAAATCGGGCAAGATCTGTGTCTAACCGTCGGATATGCTTATCTACCTGCAAACATATTAAAAGACAGAACAAGTAATTGAGCTAAAATGTCCCAAACAACCAGGAGGACAACCAGGGAGTGGATGAGGCTGAGATACTAGTGGCATTAAATGCTTAGTAGGACAAGAAGTCAACTAGGCCGAAGAGGAAGGTTTTCACATAATCTGAAGGTTCTTGCATTAATAAAAGACCACCCATCAGATCCCACCTCTTCAAACCCATGGATCCCCTTCTGCCATGCCTCTTACCATCTCATAGGTCTGCATAGCGAGCTGCACTTTGTCATCCCCAAACTCCTTGCACTTCCCATAAGCTTCTTGGATTTGCTTGAGAAGGCCCAGTTTCTCCTCTGAAGACAACGTCCGTGCATTGCTGATGTACTCAGTGGCCAATTTATCAATCTCCGATTTAAGATCTGAAACCAAAGGCAGGACAAAGAGTTTTAATAGAGGCAACTTTGGCACAATGGCAGATCAAACGGAGACATACATACAATAATGATAACACAGCAGTCATTTTGAACTGGCTGCTCCCAGTAAGGCCCCCAACTCACCTTCTGTTCGTTGGTCGAGATCTCGCATGAGTTGGAAGTTTCTCTGCAACTCAAATGGCAAATTCTCAATACCTAGGAAAAGGAAAGGACTATGAAACACAGAAGGCAACCATCAAGATGGGATCAACCGCCACGAGTCGCCCTCGGGCTGAGAATGGCGGTATAGAAGCATAGTAAATAAATAAATAAATCTTACAGAACCATCACACATACTTTCTTACAGAATGGCCAACATTAATTCCGAATGGACTGAACAGCCACTGGGACGTTAAGACCATATACATTCAAACAGCTTAGTGATAAAAGCACCAAAGATCTATTCCACACAATGAATGTTGGCAAACCCAGATTTTTTCACCTTGCACATATTCTGCAAGAGAGTTCTCGGATGTCTGACTACCAAGCTTATACATGTATGCTTGCCTCAATCACATTTATTACACCATGTAACAAAATTTGAAAAAAGAAAATCTGTTCCTGGTTCAAAAGTGTTATTTCCTGTTTAATTGTATGGTACTTACTTTGAAAGTAGTTGTCTACTCCAGAAACATTGTTTTTGTGGCTGCCACAAACTAGTTTGAGACTCAATGAGATATTCAATGAAAAACAACAGCAAAATGTGCTTCAGGGTGTCTCTCAAAATCAGTTTTTGCAGTTTAATAACCTTGCCTTATGTTTTAATGATAGAAACAATTCGGAAATGACATTTATAACCCAGGAACAGAAATGGTGTTACATTGTGTTATTTGGATATACACTCACTGCATATGACATCGATGCACACCTTTCAAAAGCAATTGAAAAGGCAAAATGCTAGTGTTTTGTTTCTAAATATAATGAACACTATCAGGGCTATTCAGTCAATGTTCTCATTCATATACATATACATATATATATTCAAAGGGAGGATGCCTACCATAGATGTGGGTGAAACGTTAGGAGAGAATGCTTCTGGAACATGGCCATACAGCCTGGGAAAATCACAACAACCCAGTGATTCTGGCCATGAAAGCCTTCAGCAACACAAAGTATTACTACTACTACTACTACTATCTGAATTTAAGCTATTCAGCCAGAAATGGAAAAGAATAGCACAGGATCATATATTTTGACAAATGGTAGATTTGTGCAAAGACGAAAGAAGTGGATTGATGACAAATTGGACAAAGGAATAAATGAAACTACTACTATTAATACAGCTGTAATGTTCTGTCACCTCTCAGTTAGAAGTAAACAAAAGTATAGAGCTGTGGAAGAAGCAGTAATTTAGTAAAATTTAGTAATTTAGTAAAAGCGTAACCATTTAAAATAATGTTCAATTCATTATCAAGCAATTACTCATTGAAGTCCTTTTGGCCACAAGATCATCATCATCATCATCATCATCATCATCATCATATTTAATTACTTATTAATCGCCCTCCATCCGAGAATGCTCTAGGAGGTTTACAGCTAAATTGTAAAAGATAAAGTACATACATACAGAATTTAAAAATTAACAGAGATAGAATGCTCTAGTAAAATGCCAGGTCTTAAGTGCTAGAGTAAAAGGCCCTAAGTCACGCATGGCTCTCATATAGGGCGGCAAGGAATTCCATAAAAATAGGAAGGAAAGAATGGGTGTGATACAACATTATAATTTTATTCGCTGGAAATATATGCTTAACTACATTGCACAGTTTAATAAAAGCTTACAACTGAGGCTCCCTCCACATAGCTGAATAAAACCCCACGTTTTCTGTTTTGAACTGGAATATCTGGCAGTGTGGACTCAGATAACCCAGTTCAAAGCAGATATTTTGGGTGATATGGCTGTGTGGAAGGACCCTAAGCTATCTAAACCCCCTTCCACACAGCTAAATAAAATCCCACATTATCTTCTTTGAACTGGAATATATGGTAGTGTGGACTCAGGTAACCCAGTTCAAAGCAGATATTGTGGGATGGTCCGCCTTGATATTCTGGGTTATAGGGCTATGTGGAAAGGCCCTAAGTTATCTAAGACCCCTTCCACACAGCTGAATACAACTCCACATTATCTGCTTTGAACTGGAATATCTGGCAGTGTGGACTCAGGTAACCCAGTTCAAAGCAGATATTGTGGGATGTTCTGCCTTGATATTCTGGGTGATGGGGCTGTGTGGAAGGGCCCTTAAACGTAGGCATGGGCGTAACGCAGGGGTCCTGGCAGACCAAGGCTGTCAATTGGCCACAGCGCTTCATTCAGGGGCCCTTTGGGTCAGGCTCGCATGTGGATAACACGCATAACGTGTGAATGATGAACGAGGCGCGCCCCCTCCTCTTCCTCCTCCTCGCTAGTCGGCCTTTGGCTTCCAGGGCTCCTCCGCCGCCTGGCCCTCGGCCCTCCTCCCGCTCCGCTCCCGCGCTTACTGTCGAGGTAGTGCTCCAGGTACATCCCCGCCGCCATCTTGGGTTTCGGCCAAGCGCCCAAACTCCTCCCGCTTCCCGCCCTAACGTCACTTCCGCCCTCAATCAGGCCGACTTCCGGAAGGGTCTTCGGCTCACTTCCGCCCGGTTTGGGCTTTGCTCCTGAGTGGTAGGCAGAAGACTTGGCTGGGCAAAAGGGAGGCGGGGAAGGCCAATGTTTTCTTCTTTCCTTGATTAATACAATCGGTTTCATTATTATTATTATTATTATTATTATTATTATTATTATTATTATTATTAAAGTCGATACATACCTTAAAGAAAAAAATTCTTAAAAACATTTAAGAAAAGGGACTTTGCAGACATTGGGCCCTTCCACACAGCTGCATAAAATCCACATTGAGCTGGATTATATGGCAGTGTGGACTCAGATAATCCAGTTCAAGGAGACACCGGTGTCGCAATGGGTTAAACTCTTGTGCCAGCAGGATTGAAGACCGACAGGTCACAGGTTCAAATCCGGGGAGAGTACGGATGAGCTTCCTCGTGTCAGCTCCAGCTCCCCATGCGGCGACATGAGAGAAGGTCATGGGGGACTTTGTCAGAGGCCTTACTGAAATCATGATATGCTGCCCCCACACCATTCCCTGCATCTACCAAGCTTGTAATTCTATCCAAAAAAAAAGAGATAACATTAGTATGGCACGACTTGTTTTTCCGAAATCCGTGTTGACATTTAGAAATCACAGCATCCCTTTCTAAGTGATTGCAGACTGTCTCCTTAATGATCTGCTCCAGAATCTTTCCTGGTATTGATGTCAGCCTGACTGGGTGGTAACTGTTTGGGTCATCCTTTTTCTCCCCATGCAAGTTAAGCAAGTGTGGGCTAGGCAATGCTACTATTAAAATGTAATTAAAATGTAATTGCTTAAGCAATTGGACCCATAGGCCAACAGTTCCTCTTCATCTTGTGCCATAAACAAAAGTTTTTGTAGGTCGAACCATTAGAAAACAAAGGTATTGTTGAAGGCTTTCATGGCCAGAATCACTGGGCTGTTGTAGGTTTTTTGGACTATATGGCCATGTTCTAGATGCATTCTTTCCTGACATTTCGCCTGCATGTATGCCAGACATCCTCAGAGGTTGTGAGATCTGTTGGGAACTAGGAAAATTGGGTTTATATATCTGTGGAAAGTCCAGGGTGGGAGAAAAAACCCTTGTCTGTTGGAGCTAGCATTTGGTTAGCATTTGGTGACCTGACAGTTTTTTAAGTGTGGATTGTTAGTGCCTGGGGGAGTCCTTTGTTGAGAAGTGATTAGCTGTCCCTGATTGTTTCGTGTTTGGAGTTCCCCTGTGTTTGAGTATTGTTCTTTATTTAATGTTATATTTTTATAGTTTTTTTTAATACTGGTAGCCAGATTTTGTTCATTTTCATGGTTTTCTCCTTTCTGTTGAAATTGTTCACATGCTTATGGATTTCAATGGCTTCTCTGTGGAGCCTGACATGGTGGTTGTTAGAGTGGTTCAGCATTTCTGTGTTATCAAATTATATGTTATGTTCAGGTTGGTTCATCAGGTGCTCTGCCATGGCAACCAGAAAAGTCACCCATAGCAGAGCACCACAGATATATAAACCCAATTTTCCTAGTTTCCAACAGACCTCACAACCTCTGAGGATGCCTGCCACAGATGCAGCCAAAACGTCAGGAAAGAATGCTTCTGGAACATGGCCATAGAGCCCGAAAAACCTACAACAACTGAGAAAGCAAAGGTGTTGCTATCTCGGTTACCCATGTGAATAATTGTGGATATGGGATGTTCAGCCTGTTTTAAACACTACAAGTTACTAGATGATCCTTTACACACAATTTCTTCATTTTTTGTAATGTAAAACATATGAAAAACATTAAATGGGGAAACTTTTCAAAACAACAATTCAAATCAATATGGAATTTATATTAATGGCAATTACAGGGAATAAAAATATTGCTGCGAAGAACCAAGACCTATTTAAACCAATGGTCTTAGCAGGAAAGGTGGTAATAGCCTGGGTATGGAGAAATGAAAAAAATGGAATATGGAAAATTGGAATAACTATTTATTTGAGAAATTCCAATCAGATATTATTGCATGTATAACCCAAGAAGGTTCACGGGAGGACAAAACAGAAGAAATTAAAGAGAAACGGTCAACATATATGAAATGGGTAGAAGAAGGGGAAGCCACTGATATTGTACAAAGATTAAAAAGGTTGTGTTCGTGGTTAAAAATAAAGATATAGAGAGAAAAGTGGTGGGAAGGGTAAGGAAGGGTGGTGGGAGGAGAGGGGGAGAAAAAATACAAAATGTAATACGAATAAATCTGTAAAGAATGTGAAAAGATAATATAGAAATATCTTATATTGTAAGCCTATAATAGACATTTATTATCTGTTCAAATACGTTATTTTGTTTTCAATAAAAATCAGTATAAAATAGCAACACATGAAGAAACACAGAAAAACATACTTGTGTGCAGACAAGTAATGGTGCTTAAGACACGAGACAAGAACAAGACGTACATGCTTTCTCCATGGAGCAACACAAGGTTGTCTAACATTGTTTTCCAAATACCAAATAAATTAGAGACTATAGTCCTGGCAGGATACCATTTACATTTTTTCCTTCAGTCATGGGCTTTCAAAAATATATACAAGACTCAGGTAGACCAAGGTCTCCAGAATCCTTGAGACCCAGTTTTGCTTAGAACCACGGAGGAAGCTGGTTTTCCAGGACGCAGGAGGCTGCGGAAAGGCTCTTTCTCTTCATTCCAGCTTGAGATATTTTCTAGGCCAGAGACTTGAGGAGTAGATACCAGTGAGAAGGTCTCATTACTGGAAATGGGTTGGCTGGGAGGTTCTAGGTACGCCTGTCTTTCTGAGATGGTTGCTTGAGCAAAGGAGGCACAACGCAAGCATCCACTCTGGAAGACCCTGTCATCTGCCACTGTGAAAAGAAAGAACAAACAAAATCAAAGAGTTGTTGACCGAAAGGTCACAGGTTCAAATCCGGGGAGTGATATAAGCTTCCACTGTCAGCCTTAGCTTCTGCCAACCTAGCAATTCGAAAACATGCAAATGTGAGTAGATCAATAGGTACTGCTCCGGCAGGAAGGTAATGTGCTCCATGCAGTCATGCTGGCTAAATGACCTTGGAGGTGTCTACAGACAACGCTGACTCTGGCTTAGAAATAGAGATGAGCACCAACCCCCAGAGTTGGACACGACTGGACTTAATGTCAGGGGAAAACCTTTACCTTTACCTAACCTAAGATGATACACCTTCAGAAGTAAGAACACATGAATTTTACCAGGATTAAGCAAATCTAAGCTTTTGAATTAGATGTGGTTTCCACCTGCTCTTCAAAGTCCAACAAATCTATTTGCATGTATATTTTTGTCTTACGAAACCTTAAGTCTGCACTCACACTACCAGTATGAACCCCATACAGATAATTGTAGCTTGGCCACTATAGTTCAGAAGATTTAAGCATTCACATAGTTAGGGTTTTTTTTCCAGAGCTATACCCAGAAAGAGTATTCAGGTGTACCATTTCATCTGGGCTGGATCTGTTCTCTGTTCAGTTTCTTCAAAGGCATGAAACAGAGGAGAGAGTAGCTCCACTGTGTTAGCTGATGCAGGAACACTACCAGGCATTAAAACCTAGGAGGGCAATTCCTATGTAAAACTCAGCTTCCCATATGAAACAGCTCCCAGTGTTATTACTCTTTGCTGTATGGGCAGGGATGGGGATTTCCAAATTCAGTGTCGCGTAAGTAGGGTGGCAGAGCCAAACCTCCTGCTGATGGTAACCTAGACCCTTTCTACACTGCCATATACAATCCAGATTATCTGATCTGAACTGGATTATATGGTAGTGTAGACTCATAATCCAGTTCAAGGCAGATAATCGGGATTATCTGCTTTGATAATCAGGATTATATGGCAGTATAGAAGGGGCCTAAGTCTTAAAACAAGCATCTCAGAATAGGGGGAACCATCTAACAATGGCATTCTGAGGAAGGGGAGCTGTTGTCTGGGGAATGGATTGGGGCATCAGGATCCCCCACCTGATTCCATGTCATTCCCACCTTTAATTCTCACCTGCTTGCTGCAGAGTTTGGATCCGCTTCACAGTCATTTCAAGAAGAGCTGCCTTGTCCGTGCGAGTACTGGGAAAAGACTTATGGGAGAAAAATATACTTTAGGGAGTTGAAGAATTTATTTATTTATTTGCAGTATTTATATTCCTCCCTTCTCACCTTGAAGGGGACTCAGGGTGGATCACAATGCATAATGGCAGGTCAAGAATCATAGCATCAAAGGAATCTACATTATCTGCTTTGAACTGGATTATATGAGCCTACACTGCCTTATGATCCAGTTCAAAGCAGAAAATCTGGATTTTATATGGCAGTGTAGAAAGGCCGGGTGTTGCATGACTGTTGTTCTCTGTCTTCATGTGTGCACGAATCTCAGTTTGTGTGTGTGTGCTTGTCTCTCTGTGTGTAGGTATGTCTGTTTTCATCATTGTTTCTCTGTGTATATCTCATTTTTTCTCCCTTCTCCCTTTCCATCTGCTTCTCTGTCTGTCTCTCTGTATTTCCATGTCTGAGTGTGTATATCCATCTCAGTCTGTGTATGTATTTCCCTCTCTCCATCTCAGTCTCTCGTCTTTGCAGCTCAGTGTGTCCTGTCCATCTGCTACATGTCATTTGGCAGCAAAATATCTCCTTGGACTAGAGACCTTGTGCCAATCAATTTGTATGACAGCCCTTCTCGAGCAGCCCAAACGTCTGGTTAGCAAAAAGACAAGATTTCTCTTCAAACCATTTGCAAGCATGAAATTGGAACCGGAGTGAAGCTGACGGAGACGTCTCCTATCTCACTGGGTCATGCATGGCAGTAGGAGTGATGGTTAGGAGAAATGTAGGAGAGAAGATAATTTGCAAAGCCATCAAGCAGGATGTCTGAAAAATAAGGATGCCCTCTTTCCATAGTCCAACCCACAAGACTACAGTTTTAAGGGATCGCTGGATTGAAGGAAAATGTGGCTATGTCACTTGAAGTCCACAGTGTATGAGGGCTCATGATGAATGACTTCATGTCCCTATTGGAAGGGCGTCAGGGTCTTGGGGACTTTGCTTGTCCAGTCCTTACCTTGTTGCCTTGATTGGGCACATCTAGCAACAGAGCCTTTAGCTGGTTCAGAGAATGGGCAATGCGATCTCTTCGTTTTTTTTCCATAAGCGGTTTAATGATCTGGAGATGAAGAATGTTTGCATTAATAGCAGAACTGATCGAGAAGCTGTCTGTCATGATAAATTAGAGAAGTGGGGAATAAGAACAGAAGAGCCCTGTCCAATACAAGGCATTGAGGACTGTGTCAAACAGAAAATCTAAATGCCATTCTTCAAAGGCTCTTCCAGTAATTAACATGGCCCAAGAACCAGGGGATATTCTCCTATAAATTACTCATAGAAAAGAATGCAAGTTATGCAAGATCATTATATATCTTTATTATTATTATTATTATTATTATTATTATTATTATTATTATTTCGGACATTTGTATCTGACAAGGCAGTCAGATACATGATCTACACGTGGTTTATTTTACATTATGCCACTTGTCTTGCTTATTTAAGCTGTTTTTTATTTGTTATTTGTACCTTTGGCATTGAATGTTTGCCAATGTGTTTTACTTTGCTGTAAGCTGCCTTGAGTCCCCACAGGGAGACAGGGCGGGCTACAAATAAATTATTATTATTATTATTATTATTATTATTATTATTATTAGTAGTAGTAGTAGTAGTAGTAGTAGTATGAGAAACACAAAAAGATTAGAACACAGCAAACAAGGTCACTCTGCTGGTTCTTGTATTGGATCACACGTCGGACACTTCCCAAGTGTCTAGGACTGTGTGATGTATCGGCGAATAATGTGCGCAGATCCCAGCAAGGTGGCCTTTTGCAGCTGACAAATGGTAATTTTGTCAGCACCGATTGTGTTTAAGTACAGGCCATTGTCTTTAGGCACTGCACCCAGTCTGCCTATCACCACTGGGATCACCTTTACTGGCTTGTGCCAGAGTCTTTTGTTGTTGTTGTTGTTGTTATTTATTTATTTGAAACACAACAAGATAAGTCCACAGCAAACAAGATCACTCTGCTGGCTCTTGTATTGGATCATACGTTGGACACTTCCCAAGTGTCTAGGACTGTGTGATGTATCGGCGTATTATTATTATTATTATTATTATTATTATTATTATTATTATTATTTTATTCTGTCCCAAACATGGTGCTGGTTTTCTGCCACTTTGCCACCCTTAATGATGCCTCAATTCCCCTTTTGGCTGCACCCAAGTGAAGCCAGTAGCCAAACTGTTACAGGCACCCCCTTCCAGTCTAGCTTCAGTTCTCCATCCTTTTTGTTTATGAATGATTCAAAAAAGAAATAAATCTTACCTTTTTGTACACAAGGCGTTTGGGCTGCTCTAGATTTGGCTTCACCCCACTACATGCCCTTGGTGCCTGCATCCTTGATTGCAAAGTTTCACTGACTTCTCTCTCAAGGTCCATCCTCCGGTTTCTCCAATACGATTTTCAAATTTCCCTCCTCCTTTATTTATAGGGCAGCCCCAACGCAGCTGTCACATTGTCTGCAAATCCCATTTTGCCCTCTGTTGCCCCAGCCTATAGGAGCGGCCAATGAGAAGCTAAAGGGCCCTTTTGTATTTGTGAGGGAGGACTGTGGTGGCATGTGAGAGGTGGCCCGGCACACCAATAAATAGAGGAGAAGACAGCCTGGAGGGAATTTCAAAAGGGGTTCTTCTTTTCTGGCTCGCCAGCTGCTCCTTTAGCGTTGAGGATAAAGAGAGTAAAAAGAGCATGAAGAGAGATGAATAGAGAAAGGGAAAAAAGCTATTGAAATGGAAATTGAGCAACAGACGGTGTGTGTGTGTCTGTTGCTGCTGTGATGTGTGTTGTGTTTGTACTTGGGATGAGGTAGCATTTTAAATGGTGAGACGACTCTCTTGAAGCAGAACAATTGGACCTGTCCGTAGTTTCATAAGGTTGTCAGTGTAATGTAGGGCAGATCTTGTGTTTTCAACTCCAAGATCTGTGAAAGCAAAACACTCCAGCATTCTCTCCCCATCCATGCCTCTCCCCATCAACAGAAGAGGCAGAGCAGACAAAACTGGACCAAGGTTTTGGTTATCCTCTGACATTAAATCCAGTCATGTCCAACTCTAGGGCTTCGTGCTCATCTCCATTTCTAAGCTGAAGAGCTGGCGTTGTCCATAGACACCTCCACATTTGCATGTTTTTGAACTGCTGGGTTGGCAGAAGCTAGGACTCATGCCACTCTCCGGATTTGAACCTTTGACCTTTTGATCAGCGACTTAGCGGTTAAACCCACTAAAATTGGACCAAAGTCAGTGGAAAATAGATCATATGGTATCTGTATGGTAGGACCTGAAATGACACAGGGAATGCCATAGTATCCACGTGCGTTCTACCAACACAGACTTGAATAACTTTTATAAAAATTAGGTGAATGAAGACTTCATTTTCTGCCTTCTGTCTCCCCTGTCTCAAGCTGGATCTACACTACCCTATAACCCAGAATCTGGTTCCAGATTATCTTCTTATTCCAGATTATCTGGCAGTGGACACTCATATAATCCAATTTAAAGTAGATAATCTTTTTGGAAAATGTGAATCTCCATAACTTTTTGGAAAGGCATGGCCTTGTTAGAGATCATAACCTTTTGTAAAACCACTTGTCACATAACGTTTTTGAAAATAGCATTCATAACCATTTCAGAAAATCCTGCCTTGCTAAGACTGATTCCAATAAGTTCCACAGAACTAGAAATAGCTTTATTGGGTGGTGTGTTGAAGAAAGATAAAAGCCAAGAGAATCCAGCTGCCACAAGCTCAGTGATCCTGCTCCTTGGGTGTCCCCCCTCCTTCTCTTTTTCTCCCCTCCTTCTCTTCTTCCTCTTCTTCTGCCACCCCTGCCTCTAGCTTTGATCTTGCAGAGCTCTAGCCACTCCACACCCTGCGCACCTTCCACCCCGCACATGGTGAGTGCCCACCCTGGAAATGTGTATGAGTGTGTAGTGGCCCATTAGCCTCCTTTCCCAGCTATGAGGGCTTCAGTGACAGAGTGAACTGCCAGTGTTGATGCAGCTGGATCTGCTTGGACTTTCCCCCTCCCTTCCATTCCCAGTTATGAGTGCTACTTTGCTAAAAGAGTGGAAAGTGTTCAGAAAGCCAGGGAAGCATCTGGCACACTTGCATTTTAAATTGCCAAACATTGATCCTGGAGGGTGCCGGCTAGGATCTGCAGCCTTGGTTGTTTGATTGTTTGTTTGTTTGTTTGTTTGTTTGTTTATGGCATTTCTCAGCTTTACGGTGACTCAAGGCGGCTTACAGAATTGGCAGAATTTGATGCCATACATTCATAAAAATACAGTTAAAAACATTCAACATAATATTATATTAAAACATATAAAATCATTTAAAAATATAATTACCATTGGAGGAAGCGCAAGTCTGCTTCTGCCTCTGAGCCAATCAGAGGGGAGGCTAGGAATTTAATAAGCTGTCATTCACTGATACTGCATTATCACAGCATATTTACGCCAACACCATTGGAGAAATTATACTCTTTAGCCGGTATTACACCACCTGACATCTGCCGGGAAATGGCAGCCTGTAATGAAAGGACCAAGGCATTGACATCTCTGACCCATCCTCTGTTCAGATATCAACCAGCAAGCCAATGCCTTAAATCAAGAAATAGCTTCCTAAGATCTACAGAGATACGCACAGGATGCCTCAGCAAGTGAGAGTCTAAAAGTGGCAGACAAAAACCCAGAACCTCAATCACTGGTTGATCCCAGATGAGAAGCTCCCCCGGGTACACAGAAGGCTGGACGACTTGGAAGGCACTGAATCACAAGATGCAGAGCTACCCGACATGCGAGTGCGGAGAAGAGCAAACCAGAGACCACTTACTACAATGCAGTTTGAGCCCTGCCACATGCTCAATAGAGTACCTTCTCATAGCGACACCAGAAGCACTCCAAGTGGCCAGCTACTGGTCAAAGGACATTTAATTTTATGCCAAGTTTAACTTTGTGTTTTTAAATACATTATAACTGTACCCTCAATTCACTTCTGACACTAAATAAATATAAAATCAATGGATTTGAAGTCTTTTTTCTGTTGTGAGTCCTTCCCAGAAACTGGGTGCGCCTGGGTGGAATGAAGTTTGATGGGTGGTTGATGAACCCTGATGGTCCAATGCCAGCTAAGCAAAGGGGGTGCTGGCCAATTGACAAAAGGCACAGTTACATACAATGGAGGATTAACTGGGGGAGGGGGGCGTCAAGATATGTGCTATAGATCAGGCAGCATTCCCAGTCTTAGCCGAGATCCCCATCATGACTTGGGGACTATATGATTTCGCAATATTGGACTCTATATGGACTTTGGTGGGTGGATGGGCTTATATGAATTTCCTTTCCCCATTTCTCCCTTGTGTATACCTTATGAATTCCCTATGTGTGTGTTTGTATATAAAAATATGGAAAGCCACCCTTTCGTGACCCCAGCAAGACACAAGCCTTGGGAAACTCTTCCCTATTTCCTGAGGGAAATTCCTATTGACTTAAGGTTTCCAACAAGGACTCATTGCATGATAATAACAATGGTGTGTCTTTGGGTCTCGGAGCATGTCCACCCAAGAAGGTACCCCATGGTGAACCGGTCACTTGTCAACAATGGGACATCTTGCCTTTAGGGAAGATCAGGATGTCCCAACCGTCTCCCTCTCATTGTCATTTCCCCTTGGACTGAAATGCACGTTGATAACGTCAATTAATCCATATCCGAGACAGAAGAATATCAGGGCTTGGCAGCCGCGCCAGCCATTTTTGCATATTTCAACCTTTCAGGACAATGCTAGGCTGGCTTGAGAAATCTCCGGATTATTGCCGGCCACCAGGACACACATTCAGTCATTTTAATCCACTCATCAATACTCTCGATTCATTGTTTTTCTCTTGGGCCGCCTCCTCCGCTCTCATTGGTCAAGAGCTCGAAGCGGCGCTGGCTCTTTGATTGGCTGAGGCGTGGCTAAGCCAGCCGCGCCTCCCCTCCAGCTGATGATGACAGCCAATCAGGAGGATGCCGGCAAGGTGGCGGGGGGGGGGCAGGCAGGCGGGCGGGCGGGAAATTTGAACTTTGACAGCTCTGTTTTTCTATAAAAATGTACTGCAATGTATTGAATGTATGTCTCTCCTGATGAACTATCGCGGTTTGACATCCATACCAGCTGGACGAAATAAATACAACTCGGTGGCTTTTCTTCAACTTTGGTGAGATTTATTGGGAAAAAATCAGGGAAAATTCTTTTGGCTCTCTCTCTCTTCACTCGCCAGAATATTGGACTCCCATTGTTGGGTCTGGCTCCAAATTCTAGCTCGATATCAGGGTCTGATTTTTTGGATAACAGTGTGATGAACCACCTTTCTCCACTACCTCTCATTCACTGTGTATGCACAGTATATGCAAATAAAGATATTCAAAAATACTTTAAAATCTGAACACTTCTGGTCCCAAGCATGTTGGATAAAGGAAACGCAACCTGGGCTGCATTCTTGTTTGTCCTAAGTGACATTCCAGCTGCCCCTCACTCCAAGCGTGGTGTCACACTTTGCTTCCTTTCTCTCCAATCATCTTTATTGATATGACGGGGGGTGTTTTATTGATCCCCCACCAGTCCTTCTGTTGCCTGCCCAATCCCTTTCTCTGACCCTCTTCACCTGCCTCCCTGGCTGCCATCTCCGGATTTGGCAACGGCAGGCGGTTGCCATGACAACATTCGGGGATGATGATTCAGAGGCAGTAAATACAAGAAGCCATCCTATAGCTTGTTTTCTCTCTTGAAAATAAATGTCAATTGCAATACTTCTGTATGTTCTCAACCACCTTATAAAATAAGCCCCACTTCTGTGACCTATTTTCCAAGGTGCCCGTTCTTAGCCGCCTGATAACGTTCAGAGGCTGACCTCTTCAGTCCTACACAGCTGCAAACAATAAAACCCACAACCATCTGGAAAATGGAACATTTTATATCATCCAAGAAGCAAAACTCCAAGCTCTGGAAAAAGAGTACAAACATCCGACTTAGAATCATAGAATCCTAGAGTTGGAAGAGATCCAGTCCAACCCCTTGCCAAGAAGCAGGATAATTGCATTCAAAACATCCCTGACAGATGGCCATCCAGCCTCTGCTTAAAAGCCTCCAAAGAAGGAGTCTCCACCACACTCCAGGGCAGAGAGTTCCACTGCTGAACAGCTCTCACAGTCAGGAAGTTCTTCCTAATGTTCAGATGGAATATCCTTTCTTGTAGTTTGAAGCCATTGTTACGCATCCTAGTATCCAACAGACAAGCTTGCTCCCTCCTCCCTATGACTTCCTCTCACATATTTATAAATGGCTATCATGTCCCCTCTCAGCCTTCTCTTCTTCAGGCTAAACATGCCCGGCTCTTTAAGCTGCTCCTCATAGGGCTTGTTCTCCAGACCCGTCATCATTTTAGCCACCCTCCTCTGGACACATTCCAGCTTGCCAATATCTCTCTTCAGTTGTGGTGCACAGAATTGGACTAACAAATGACGCATGGTTAAGAACAGGGGCGAGACAGCAGGAAGTGAAAGGGATCTACCCCTCGGAAGGGGGGGGGGGGAGAG